AGGCCTCTGCGGCAGGGCCCCACGGCCGAGCGCAGAGCGGCGTGCGTGCGGGCGGGCGGCCACCCACCTTGTCGTCCTGGCAGGTCATGACGCTGGAGAAGGGGATCTCCGCCTTGAACATCTTGCGGCACTGCATGAGCTGCACCAGCAGGTAGCACACCGTCTTGAACTTCATCCGTTTGGCCGGCTTGATGTCCGAGAGGATCAGCCCCGGGAAGATCTGGGGGGACACGCGGCCGAGAGGCACGTGAGCAGACGCGCCCCGACTCCAGGCCGCAGCATGGCTGTCGCAGGCCAGGGCGTCTGCGCCCCAGGCCTCGGGGAGGTGCCGGGACCGGCCGGCAACGTGGTTGCAAACTCGCTCCCGACGGCACCCGCTGCCAACCAGAGCAACAGCCGGGGTCCCGGGCTGAGCGGACGGCTGTGGGGCCCGGGGAAGGTCGGCAGGCGGCTGGTCAGTGTCACCACGGCCCCGGGGCCCCCCGGCCGACCTCCCGCCTGCGCCTCCGGAGGCTCCTACAGAGGGGCTCAGGTCCACCCACGCCCAGGCCAGCCCCGGGCAGGGTGCGGAGGGGCCCCGGGTGCCGGGAGGAGACCAGCGGGGCAGGGGGCTCGGGCCCACCTTGCGCCGGTGGGAAGGCACAATGAAGAAAGTCTCGATGTTGTGAGCTCTCAGGAAGCTGTTCCTCTCCTGCCCGTGGCCGGGCTCCACCTCGTAGTCGCCGTTCAGGCACGTCAGGGTCGTCTTGGTGATGTGGACCTTCCTGCGGACAGGAGCAGACGGGGGCCGAGCGTGACGCCCGCAGCTCAGGGCGCCGCGGAGCCTCGGGGGAGCAGCCGTGCGCGGGCGTCTCCCTCGCTGTCACCCGGACGCCACAGCCGGGGGCGTCCCGGCCACCCTCCCACAGGGGGAAGCGGGTGGAGCCTCGCGGCACCCCTGCAGCCGGCCACCGCGCGAGGAGAGGGCCCCTCCCGCCCCGCTCTCGCGGGGATTTTTATGGGGCACTGAGCCTTGGCCCTGTGGACGGTTTGAAACACATTAGGCCAAGGCAGGCGGCCGTTAGAGAGGGTGTGACGTGAGGGACCCGGCCTTGAGGGGGCCCGACCCGGGCTCCAACCCCAGCACCTTCCTCGGGGAAGGAAAGAATCACACGGAGCCAGAGTCAGCACCTGGGGCAGGGCCGAGCCTCCCGGCCTCCCGCCAGCCCTTCTCCGCCCGGGGCCCATCCACTTTCCTTCTGAATATGTTTTTGATTTTTTAGAGAGAGAGGAAGAAACATGGGTGAGAAAGAAGCATCGACTGTCCGCCTCCTTCACACACACCCCTGGGGGTCGAGCCTACAACCCGGGCATGTGCCCCGACTGGGAATGAAACCGGCGGCCTCTCGGAGCAGGGACGAGGCCCAATCCGCTGAGCCACACCGGCCGGGCCCCTGTCCACTTTCTGAGGCTGCACCTGAGACGACTGGGGGCCCCTCCCACACTGGGGGCAGCTGGGGGGACGGGCTCCCAGCCCCCGCGGCACCCTCGCTCGGGGCCCGGACGCACCCGGGCAGGCCTGCAGTCTCCATGACGTTGGCCAGGGTCACATCGTTGGACCAGACGTCATATTGCCACTTGCGCAGGCCCAGGACGCCACAGAGGACCCTCCCGGTGTGCAGCCCCACGCGCATGTTCAGGTCGACCTCGGTGGCCTCGGCCACAGACCTGCAACACGGACACGGGCCGAAGCCGTGAACTCAGGGTCCCGCCCTTGCATGTCACGGCTGCAGGGCCTGTGTGGTGCCCGGGCTGGCAGGAGCACAGGGGCCCCTAAGCTATTCAGCCCAAGCCCCGAGCCATGGCCCCAGGTCGGTCCCCCGCTCCCTGGGCACTCGCCACGTCACACAGCCTCACGCCCGGGCGGCCCAGGGGGAAATGACCCTGCTCTGTGTCCTGCGACCTGGTCGGGGGCTGCGGCCAGTGCAACGACCGTGGGACCACCTGACAGTGTCCACGGCCCAGGAGCCCCGAGAACGGTCCCGTTTGACCCCAAGCTCTGTGACTCGGGGGG